TAAACTGTTGATCAAAATTATTTTCACAAATTAATAATAATTAAAGGCAAATATACATCAGTATCTTAGATTGATCACACTGATTTAGTATTCTGAAAGATTTATCAACCTCAAATTTGTTTACCACTGACTTTATTTGTCCATTCATTATGTCTCTCATGTTCTTCAAAGCATTCTTCTGGCTGTAACTATTCTGATCAACTTTCTGTTATCTATTCATGTTGCTATCATGGAGTTCACTTTCAGATCAATAGTAACTGCAGTAAGCAATAAAAATATAATACACAATTCTGATAAATCTTTATCAAGTATTCTCTTTGATTCATAAGAAACTTTTGATTCTTACAAAACTTCTTTCATCCTATGGCATAGGATTATTATAGAAACTTCTGTGAAAGCTTATTAAGATTTACTGAAAAAAAAAAAGTATGATTCTTCTTTACCCATTACTTCTCTGATATTTTCATAATATCTAAATGATTATTTCTCTTTACAGGACCTTGTGCACTGGTTGAATTCAGCTGGAGATTCTGATTCACAAAAAAGACTATTTTAACTGACAGACTAGTCATTTTCCATGTCAGCCAATGAAAAAAAGAGCTGAGTAACAATAATTAGAAAATATATACACAATACTTTTCTAATACGCAGAAATGATCACTTCCTATTTTTTAACTCAGAGTGGAAAGGAAATAATGTAATACTAGATATAAGTCACAGAGTAATGATACAGACTCAGAATTTCAAAGAGTTGGTAGCTTAGATGTCCACTTGCTCACTACTATTGTACATAGTGCAAAAACATACTTAAAAATAAGTTTCAGAAATATAGAAAACATAATTTATTTTTGTTTGCCTTTGAAGATTATAATGATACAATAATTACTAATTGTTAGTATACCCACTGTCCTGAAAATCCAGTGTAGTTATGCATGCTTAGCAGTACCAGAACCACATTCAGAAACACGTTCCAACCAGGTCAAGCAGATCTACCTCACACTTGGCAAATGGGATTTCTGTTGCTGCCCTTTTACATTTCATTCAGCTTGTGACACCAGAAATTCAGCAGAATTCAACAGAAAGGTATCCTATGATGTTCCATCATAGGAATGCATAGTATGCAGTAGCCATAGCTACACTTTTTTTGCTTATTTTTTTTTGTCTGTAATTTAAAGGTTACAATACATATAAGGTCACTTTTCATTGAGATCAACTTAGAAACTAAGTGTCTGAAAGACTTATTTTGAGTGTTTCAGAACTTATTTTCATATGCATATGCAGTATTTTTCATGTTACTAATTCACCTGCCTGCAAGAGGCAGAGCTGTTCACTAAACTTCTGATAACATCTGTTTATTTATTTTATAATGAAATATAATGAGCTATGCATCTTGTCCAATTCTCTGAGAAAAAGATATAATAGATAAAGAAATATGTACCACCAAAACAGAGACTGTATACATAAATATACAAACATGTGTCACCATAGTGAAGATTATTTTCTGATATATTCCAAGCAAGCTAAGGGAGCTAAGTACCCAAATCACACTGAATTTTAAGCACTGGAAACATACAAAATAAAATGTGTAATATAGTCCATTGGCTACAAATCTGTTTCTGAATAGCATATAAACTTCATCATGAAGTGCATTTTGTAACCACACAAAAATGATTGTGGGAGGATCATATGCCATGATCATCTAAAAACAGCTAAGGATTAAAATAGAAGCCACAATGATAGCTAGGGAGCTAAGAGCAAATACTGTTTCCTTTCACCACAGCTTTGCCTTTGGCTATCCTAGAAAAGTGATTCCTTGCAGAGCAAAGTACTCATATGCTTTAAGCAACTACCTCCTGGGAAGACAAAAGAGAAACAGCAGAAGCAGAGAGGATTTGGAAACTCTGACCCATGGAAGGGACCTGCTCAAATTTCCAGGCATTAAGAGGTACTCCATAAAACACATCAAAGCAGCAATTTGTGGAATACAGGCTTACTTAACTGACTTAATGGTGCCCGTTAAATATGTGTGATAACAATGAGTGCAAGAATAGTGCAAGAGAGAGAATCACTGACTGAGTTTCTGCTGTGAAGGGAGACTATATAAAAGACTGAGTCCTAAGCAAGGTGAGCTTAATGGGGAGGTGTAAATTCAGATATGGGCAAGAGAACTAAGTGGGAGGACTACACAGATCCTGACAGAGAAACTGAGCAAGAGCCCTGCAGCTTCTACTGTAAGATACAGCAAGGAAATGAGTGCTTCCTAGTGCCTTAATGCTCTTGGGTGGACTGACCATACAGCCTGGCCATGGAGCAGGAGGTCTGCATGGGCACAGATAGCAGCCTGCATCCCACCAGCTCAATTAAAAGAGCAGCAGTGATCCATGCTGTCTGTACTTCTGATGACAGTTTTCAGGCAAGGAAAATGTTTAAAAATTTAAAGAAATTTTAAAATTTGTTTTTATGCAAGCAAAATTTTAATTATTTTTATTATTATTTTATGGGAAAATATGTGTTTATACAAATTTAAAGCATATTTTCTGGTTTTGTCTTTCTCCAACTTCTCTAAAATGGTTCGTGCTTATTCACTGGATGTTAAAAAGACAAATTGTTGATCTAAAATACTACCTTGATTCAGCATCCAAGAAAAATAGAGTGCAGATAAATATTTTGAGTGATAGTCATGTCAATGACATGCAATATGCACAAAAGTATATGTATAAGCAAAGCCAAAACATGAAATCAGAAAAGAAGCTATCTTCTACAATTGCTAACTATATTCAAGTAGGCAAAACACAAAAACAATGGTAAAATCATCAGAGTAGAATTCTGTACCATTAAATTATCACAGCAGACAAATGATAGTTTGAAAGAGTGAAATAGCATGTAAAATATTACAGTCCAAGTACAGAGAAGAGAAATCCATGGTTTGGAAAAGTAGACTGCATGCCTAATTTCTGCTAATGAAAATATTTCTATATTCATGTCCTATAATGCAGACCTTTTTCCTTTTCTCCTGAGAACTGGTATAACTCATCATAAATTATGACACATTTCTCTCTCATACATAACATTCAGCCTCACAAGCTCTGATATGAACATCTAACCAAAATAAAAGCATTCATCTTGAAAAAAATCATATACTATGCTAGTATAATAAAATTAGTATAAAAAAGGGCTTTATAATTCCTTCTGAAATATGGAAAGTAGCACTGATTTTTAATTTTTTTTWAAAAATGAGGGGCTCTAAGGGTATTAATATATTAAGAGAATGTGGAAAAATGGACACTGGAGTAGTTTTGGATAAGAGCAAAATCTATCTTACTTTCTAAGGACAAAGGCCCTTGTACATTGCTAATTACAGGAACTGATGATTTCATGTAAAACCAATAAATCTACTAAATTAATTCACTCCTTTTCTGTTAAAAGAATTTTCATAAACTATTACTGATGATCTATTATGATATGATTCCATTCGTTTTCAATATTTTGAATTTAGTCAAGTACAGAAGAGCTAATAGTCCAAGACACACCATTAAGTCCTTTTGCGCCAGACTACACTAGAATTAATTCTGACTGGCCATAACTTCCTTGTTTCTCAAAAGTATTTAAGCTAGGGACTAGTCATACATAAGAAATTTGTGAGATACTAATAATTTCCATTCTTATTCTGAAGGTCCCAAACACTAACACCTCATGTCTAAGGCTGTTATCATCACTGAGGATTTCTCATTACGTGAATGGAAGCACTTTTATCATATGGTAATAAAACATTTCATTTTGGTGACATTACCTGGGTCTACATTAAATGCATCCACTCCTGGAAAAGATCCTCGTCTCTCAGGCTACAGCAACCAACACGTATAATTCTAAATCTAGCACAACTGCTCAATGGTAAGGGAATTTCTACTTTCCAGTTTTGTTTCTATTTCATTTGCCATAGCATAAAAATTAAGGACAAAATTGATAATGGATGAATATTTGTGGAGAAAAAAAAAGGCCATTCATTCTGGAATTAAGTCATTCTGGAGAGACTATCATCAATTTTCAGAGATTAGGAGAAGATATCTGGATGTGCAACTTTCTTCTAAATATAAAAAACAAAGTTTTATGGAACTCATTCCTTGTGTTCCAGCATCCCTTTTTTTTTTTTTAACAGTATTTTCTATGTCATCAAAACTAAACAGCAATTATTTTCATTAATGTTTCTGATCAAGTTCTTTACCAGTAATTTACAAATCCATTCTCAGGTATACATACATTTCTGGGAATTTATTACTAAAATTTCACCTGTCTTCACACCTGTGTATACTTTTGTTAGTATGTCTATAATTTTAAGAACTGAAAAATCAAGAACTGAAAATCAAGACCTGCAGGGAGACATCCCTCTTGGACAACATTAGCCATTGAAAGCTCCGTTTCTCATTAAAGCTAGATATGTCCACTACTTTTAAAGCCAGTGGAGAGCACTGGTAATCTTCAGATCACCCTCTCGTTTATCTTGGCTACTGCTTTAAAATCAGATGGGTTGCTTTTTCGGGATATCTATTTCTCTAATTACACAGGAAAAACAGGTTGACTGTACTTTTTTTTTTAACGAAATAATTTTGGCCTAGATGCTATAACTACTTTTATACATTTTCACGATAAAATGTATTATCCAGAAACTTGCCTCAACAAGTAAGTGTCAATTATTAGTCATCCAAGCTGGTGAGTGCTAACCTTCAATATGTAAGCAGGATACTATAGCAAATCATCAAAATAAGAACAAGTATCACGTCCTCAATTGTAAATGAATCAAAATGCAGAGTAAGAAATCTATTAATAGCTCTTATAATAATTATATTAATAAAACTTAAAGACATCTGACTGAAGAAATATGGAGAGATATGAAAGTACATTAAAAAGTAAGAGGTGTTTACCATGCTTTTCCATGCTGTATATCTGCAACTCCATGGACAATGACTACACATACAAGCAAATGAAAGCAGCTGACCACGTACCCACACACCTTGGCAGAGGTGCACTCCATACTCGTCGGCCACCACCAAGACAAATAATCTCTGAAGATCCTTCTAAACGATATCCAGATGAGCAGGAGAATGTCAGAATATCTCCCACTCCAAAACTAAATCCTATTCTGTTACCAAACTGTGGGATCCCAGGATCTTCACAAGGCTCAAGATTATACTCTAGAAACAAGAAAGCAAACCAGCTTGTGTGAGAATTACTTGTGTTTTCTATCAAGCATATTTAAAATTCTGCAGTCTTCTATTTTCCATATATTTGCCCTTGACCATCAATACAAATTTTACATTTGAAAACAAAAGGAATGCATGAATGCTAAACTGGTAATCATGCTACATTCAAAAACAAGACCAATGAATACATTCTTAATGTTTTTAAGAGGTATAACACAACAATATTTATCACTCTTACGTGAGCCAGAAATGTCCCACATACATAAAACAAACTCAAATAATGGCAGAGCAAAACAAAAAATAAACGGGAGGGAGGGAGGGAGGGAGGGAGGGAGGGAGGAAGGCCCAACTAATTTGTCCAACTAATTTATTACTGGGTTCATCTGGAATTTCACCAATCAGAATTGGACTAGCTCCCTGACTTGGTAATTCTGCCTATAGCTTATTGCCATTTTATTTATCATGTGTGGAAACATCTAGATAGAGGCACAGAGGTCTACTTGGTTTGAAATTTTTGTGCTTTGGAAACAACTTATAATATTTTATGATTCAGTATGAATATTTATCAAAATCATTTCAGTTGTAAACTTTTTGTTTGTTTGTTTCTATAAGTTACTGAATTATTCTTCTTTCAGATATTTCAAGTACTTCCTTACCAGAGAAAGAAATGTTAAATCCTTCATACGATATTGAAAAGTCTGAAATAAAGCGCAGTTGAGCCCTAAAATTTCCATAGAGGCCAGCATTGATTGTTGAAGGAAGTTCTGAGCCAGTCAGACGTGCTAATGGCTGTGTGAAACTGCCATTCTCCGTTATTAGCAAGTAGTCATGATGATCCTCCAGATGAAATGTGTAAAAGGTAAACTGCACCCCTGTTAGAAAAAAGTAGAATTAGACTTAAATAACAATTAACATAAATGTAATTATGTCACTGATTAAATTCATACATTTCATTATGAATGGTGGTTCAGAAAACTAGTCTATAACTAAGTCCAGATTTTTTAATTTAATCTTCTCCTGATGCTACCTCTCATTTTTGTCTTGTTGCTGAAAAATATGGACATTTGGTGTAGAGAATTTTGAGATATATGCTTGCCTTTTGATGTAATACTAAATGATGCACTGCATTTGTACAAAGCTGAAAATTGTTTTACACAGAATAGGAAAGGTAAATTTTATTCCCTACAATGAATAGTATCCTCGTACAATAGCAGTGGATGAATCCTGAGAGGAAGACTAGCAAATTACATACTCATGGCACACAAAAACTCACACATTCTTCCTTTAAAAAGAAAATCTCTCAGTAAAATGGGACATACGTCAACAGTATACTTATTTACTGTACCACACATGCCATACATGACATATCCTGAAAAAGCAAAATATCCTGCAATGTAATAGCAATAAATAAGACTTGAAGGTCAAAACAGACAATTATCTAGATTACTTTTTCTGCAGTTGGTAACTGAGAGTCTGATCATGAAGCTCAGGTTCAAAGGAGAGAAAATCAAGAAAAAAAAGAAAATAGAAGATATTAGCTAGCCTAAATTGCTCCTGAGCTCTCCACTGGGAAAGTGTACCCAGTTGCAAAAAGCTTCTTAATGATTCACAATCTATAATATCTACCTAATAATGCACTACTTCAGAAGATCAATGGTATACTAGATTGAAGATTAATGTGGTGTAAGAAGATTAATCACCTGAAGGTACTCTCATGACATATATTAAATTTAATAGGAAAAGTAAAAAAACTACTACCACCCCCCCCCACCATCATAAATAAATAAATAAATAAATAAATAAATAAATAAATAAATAAATAAATAAATAAATAAATAAATAAATAAGGGTCCTAACACAGGCCAGAAGTCAAGTTTTTTATTGCAAGGCCACTAGCAACCTTGCGGAGGTTCAGCCAGAGGGGGGCAACAGGATTATGTCTCATTCAAATTTACTGTGGGGCACTTGAAAAAACTTGCAAGATTATKTAGATTTTACATATGCAAATTTTTTTAATGGTATTTTGAAACTGTAAATTCTTTTTTATGGGAAGTTTAGGGCCAAAAGCAGGAAAGCAATCGCTCAAGGCAGACTGGTGTAGAAAATTGGAAAAGTTGGTGATGAAAAAGGACAGGTCACATGTAAGCAGGAGCTGCTAGTACATCCTGATCAGACCAACCCAAGAGACAGCATTGGGCAGTAGGTGTTTATCACACTTGTTGAGAGTGCTGCTGGGGCTCATGTTGGGGCCAAGAAAGGCATGGCCCAGGCACATTGTATTTTATACAGAAGAACAGATAGCAGCAGAAATGTGTTTTGGAATGGAAAAATTATTAATCTATTCATTATATAACAAAAGTAGTTCATCTGTTTTAAGTATGATCTGGCAGACTGGTAAAAGAAAATGCAACAGGTTTATCATGTGCTGAATTTTGGAATCAAGGCCAAATTTTGAGCCTTGTAATACATGTAACTGTATATGTATTAATATAATTACATGAGGCTAGTAAACTTTTGAATTATTTAATTTCTTTGCATAATTTAACATAGGAGTGTTAATCTGATACAAAAAAGGGCACTTAAGACCTCAATATATATACAGAAGAGGAAATTTATCCCAAATTTTCTGTATTTATTGCACTTCAAAATAATTTTTACTTTTTTTTATGCATGCCATTTTATGCCTTTTTTTTTTTTTTTTTTAAACTACAAATTTAGAAATGCCAGAGAAAACTTTATGGTAGTAACGCAGAAAAATGGAATTCCTACTGATCGTAAATGAGCTTCATTGACTTTTATTCCAACTCAACATTTAATTCAAGGGGATTTTTCAATTAATTTTCCAGTTTGCCATGACATTTCAAAGCAAAACTGCAAGTTATATCCCAGCAGTATCTGTACAATTTAGTTTTCTGTAGAAAATGTTCTATTTCTGTTAATATATTCTGTGTGACAGATTGTGTTGTCTCCAGAGATGTTTAAAAGACATGTTCAGGTAGATGCTCCTTCTTGCTGGTTCACATGTCTTTTTTCTTTTTAAGGAGAAATAAAATAAAAACATGAAGACATAACACATTAATATCATGTCTCAATATTAAAATCTACATTATAGAGGGAGAGGAAAATTAATTGTTCACTTAATTCATAGTCTAAAATGACTCGAATGTTGATACTTCACATATTTCACTATATATTACATGCTCTAGGTGTGCCTGCTTGAGCAGGAAGGCTGGACTAGATGATCTCTAGAGGTCCCTTCCAACCTTGAAGATTCTGTGATTCTGTGATATCAAAGTACATGTCGAAAAATTCAAGAATCAATGTCATGAGAGAGACTTCATTTCTTCTTCATAAATATTATCAATCACTAGTCATATTAATTATTTGTAGAATGTATTTTCCATCCTTATAGAAAATATAAGTTTTTATATACATATATAAAATATTTTAATGGACATTTAAGAACCTTGATACTGGTGTATATGAACATGAAAGAAAAATCAGATTGTACTTCCAGAATTTTAGATGCACTGTGATAGAAAAAGTAAAAATGCTTATATATATATATTGCAGATGATAGTATTTAAGAGAGAATACATGTATACAGAAATAGGGATTTTTTAAAAGTAATGGAACATATGCAAATATAAAATAGAAATCTTAACTAAATATGTTTAATCATCTGCTACTACTTAAATAATAGCAGTATGAAATTGTAACACAGAGATGCATGCTTTTAATAGCACCTCAAAGGATTCCAGTATTACAAGGTAGAAATCATWTTCTTGGTAGCTTGTCTTTAAACTGGCAAATTTTGACCATAAAAGCAAGAGAAAACATTAATTGAAAAAATTCATATCATTAATTACAATATGGCAAATACAAGATACTCCTTGACATTCTAAAGTTAAAATTATATTAGACATGAAATGAAGCAGAAAATGAGATTTCTAGAGCAAAGACTCTTTGCCCCATTTTCTAATAATCTATTTTAGGTATATTGGTTTAATTTTCCATAATGGTAGCTATCTGAAATTTAAGTGACTAATCCAAGCTAGTCATCCAGTCTCCCTCTGCACAATTAGACCTGGGTTTATATAAACCTTTGGACATTAGCTCATAGAAATCAATAGGTACCTTCAGGGAATTGTTTACTCCATCTACCTTTTAGGGTCAAAAGTCTCATATCCTGAAGATGTTTGTGTTTGTCCATTAAATATAGAGGTAGCCTAATGGACTAGCTTACTCAGACATAGCACTTGTAGGAGTTTAAATCTAAAATAAAATAAGCCTGTGTCGTTGCCATAAAAGGACAGTTGTTATCTTCCCGTAGAAGAAGGAATAATAAATTCTTCTTCCTCTACTGCAGGAAGAGTTTAAAGTATTTATATTTTTTGTTTTTTCTTGGGAGTTTCATAATTTTTTTGATGGCCTCACAAAATGCAATCATATTTGAGAGCTTCAGTTTTTATTTATTTCACCTTTTAAATGTGTTTCTACTTGAGGGTTTTAGAAAAAGAGAAATCACAAAAATTCCTTTCAATTCGCTCCAAAAAAATTCTCCCTTGCTCTCTCAAGTAATTGCCCCTAGAATTCCATAATACAAGGAAAACAAAAGTGTTAATAAAAAACTCTCCTAAGTTTATGAAGAATCCTGAAAAATATTACATGAATTTTGGCTTATGTTTATTGCAAAGTCTTACGCTTTGCTTCCTGAATATATTCTTCAACATCTGAGTTCACTGAGCCTTTTTCATGTCTCTAGCTTGGAATTGTTACCCACTGGCTTTGAACAGACGTTGTGAGCTAAACTATTTTTTTTTTTTTTGTCCACTTTCTATCTCTTATTTCTCACGCTTTCCCAGAGGAACAAAGGTCTTTCCACATCCTTTCTGCACTGCAAAAAAATGCAGAAACCTCACCTCAAAGCCTATCTCACTTTCCTACAGAACCATGCATCATCCCTAGAGATGATAAAGGCAAGCATAAAATCCAGTGCAGACTCAGTAATTTCAGAATCTTTTTTATTTTCACTGTGGATACTTATAAGCAAGTTATACTGACACAATGCCATCACTTAGCACTCCTTTAACAGAGACTGTGGAATAGCTGGAACGATATTAGAAGCACTTTGATGCTTCAACATCAGGGAGTTTTAAAAGGCGATACCCAGCATTACTGATTTAATATCCAGATGGGAAACTACTGGATTATTCATGCAAAACAGGACAAAAGGGAACAGAAACCAGTATATTTCTCTGTGAGGGAAGTTTTATTTTCATATAAATAATAACTGACACTTGGAGGAATACCCAACTTTGCTAAAATTTACACTTCCCATTCCATTACCACGAAAGATGACAAAATCCAGAATTGACCTTATCTTCTTCCATCTCCTTTTCATTCCTTTTACCCCATTCTCTTGTTGGTAACAGAAACATTCTCCTCCTTCTGCTCTTAACATTTCACCTTCTTGCTATTCAAATTTGTCTTAATGACACTCATCTCTACCACTCTCTTCCCTTAAACTAACTTCTCATGCTTCTCTGTTTTTTCTTCCCAAAATATTATAGCTTCAGTTTCTCTTGCATTTAAAATAAAATCTCAACAAAACTTACAAGCTTGACCCATTTCGTCTCATCTCTTTGCAACATTTCTTATCAGAAAGCAAAAGGGACAAATCATACTAAGGAAATTTTGTTTCCTGAAATTCGCACCTATTGACCTCCTAAACAATTTCTCACCTCATCCATGTATCTCTATCACTTCTTTGAAATAACTATCATCCTTTAGAAGACTCTTAATATACTTTTAACAGAATCTCTGACAATCCTTTCTTATACTGAAATTCAACCCAGTTTAACATTTTCTTCTTGAAAATGATCTGCCTTAACAACGACAGATGTCCACCTGTTCCTCTGATTAGACATATAGCTTTTTCTTACTTCTATAAGAAGTTTTTTCTGTTCCATTCTTCATCTTTTTTTTTTCTTTTTCTCCCTACATACATATTTTGAATTTGTGATGGGTGTGCTTCTTCCCCAAGTCAACCTGACTTTTCACAGATAGCCCTAGTCAAGTGTTAATTATCAGTGACATTATCTGATCCCAGTAGTTGCCTTTCTGATTTCTTCCTCAACTTAGACATCAATTARCAAAAACAGTCCTGATAGCTGCATCCTGATGGGGAGATGAGGCTAGTTATGCATACACCAGCAAAAAGTTGTCTGAAATGAAAGACTGACTATAAGGCAATCATCTTATCCCATAAATGCAGGGACAGCCTGAGAGTCCATGGACCTCTACTTGTATTGTAGTATCCTGGTGGCATGCCAGGATTCCCCCTTTAGCAGGAAAGCCTCTCAAGGATACTCCTTGTGATTGAGAGATCCTTTCCACAACAGATTCATGGTAAGTGACTATTGTGCATTCTCTCCTTTTGAACTTGAAAACTTTGCTGACTTGGCTGTGCACAAAATCCCTTAGTCAAAAACCATTGAGCATCTATCTTGATACTGGAGCATCTATCGTACGAGGAAAGCCTGTTTTCTCTGGAGAAGGTTGAATGGGGATCTTATTAATATGTACAAATACTTGAGGGGAGAATGCAGGGAGGAAGGGGCCAAGCTCTTCTCAGTGGTGGCCAGTGACAGAACAAGGGGCAATGAATATAAACACAGGAAGTCCCATCTGCATGTAAGGAAGAACTTCATTGTGAGCGTGACAGAGCCCTGGAACAGGCTACCCAGGAAAGTTGTGCAGTCTCCTTCTCTGGAGATCTTCCAAACTTGCCTGGATGCCCCCCTGTGCCACATGCTGTTTGTGTTCCTGCTAGAGCAGGTGAGTTGGACTAGATAACCTTTAGAGGTCCCTTCCAACTTAGTCAGTGTGTGATTCTGTGAGGTTTGGGACTAGGATTGAATCCAGCTGCACCCAGACTCCTCTCAGAAGAAGTTTAGAAAGCAAGGGGGCCCAATCTGAACCCTGTGGGAGGGTGTCATTGATAATTCTGTGTATTTCTTATACCCCATGCAGTAAATAAATGACCTTGCCATAGAATTYTGTGAAACTGTTGTCCATATCAATAAAATCCATTATTTCTTTCATGAGTGAAATGCATTGCATCACTTCCTCCACCTGTTCCGTGACAGAACTACATCATTTTTCATCTATATATGCATATTAAATTGTCATTTATACACTGATAAGTACCTAAATATTCTGAATCTTCTTTGTCAATAATTGGTCATAGTATCAAAAACAGCATGACCAGTATCTCTCCTCTCATTATCTTCATTCTCTTTTAAAGACATAATTAATATGAATAAGTCTTCCCTTCAGACTCTTACATGGATACCAAGTCTAAATACAAATGATTACTTCCAACTGTTCTCTAAATGAGGCCTTTCCTCATCAACACAGTGAAAACACCCATCTTCTTTCACCTGGATTAATGTACACACGGCCAACTATCTGTTAACCTATAGCTGAACTTCTAGGGACTTATTCATTCTATGGAAAGCATTATGCTCACCATGGTCAAATATACACCTGGAATTCTCAAAACTACCACAATAAAAATAAGTTAAAAGAAAAATTAACAATATGATTCCTTGTTCATAACTGTTAACCTAGATCCTCATGTGTAGCACAAGTTACTGGACTTGTGTGTGTGTGTGTGTGTGTGTGTGTATATATATGTATATAACTAAATATATAAAAGAGAGAAAATTACCTTTTCCATGGGTGACATCCACTGTCCATGTACAATTCAGTGAATTTGGATACAGTTCAGGGTAACCAGGAGATAAAATTGTTCCACTAGGTCCTCTAACATCTCCACCACATAAAGCTAGAAATAACAAAACACATACTAATAATATTAATACAATAATTAATATAGAACTCTGAGAGAGAGAATATAAGAAAACTTTGTTTACAACTCATTGCCTATTTAAAAGTCAATTGGTCTAATGATTCATCTATTCACGATACAGTCTGTATTTGCACAACATGAAAGGAAGTATCACCAATTAATTGCTAATGTGCTTTTTTTAAATAAATACTAAGAAAACRGCTGTCTTTCACATTTTAAAGCTTCATATATGTTTCACATATAAGCTATATACATATGTGTGCTGTGTGTATGCACATATATTTCCAGGACGTGCAGAAAGGCAATGAAAAAAAATGTATTTTTTTCAAAAAAATTTTTTTTTTTTTTTTTTTTTTTCCAAAGGAGAAAAAGAAAATGGGGTGGATGAATTTTATGATGCCTTTAATTAACTAAAGGCTTATCAAAGTGGGTAATATCTTGGAGAGAATGATGAAAACATAGAGTGAAATGCACATTTGTTTCTAAAAGAACTTCTGGTCTCCTCTTCCCATTTCTTTTCTAAAGGGGTGAGCTCAGCTCTCACTGAGCTTGAGAACTCCATCCTTTAATTGTAGTGAAAACTGCCTGCGGCTCAAGTGAGCATAAATTATTTCACTGTGTGAAAGATATAAGTTAGTACGAAGCTGAAGGCAGAAAGGAGGATAAGCAGCCAAGCAATATCACTTTAGTAAACTTTGTTGAAGATTTAAAATGGTAGAGAATGGCCCTTGCTGCTGAAGAAATACTGAGTGAAAACATCAGTCTAGGGAAGCACAATGCCCTTCACTGTACATGATTATCAGGTGTGCATCTATTCAAGTGAGAATAACAATTTCTAATATAAGTTATTCTACATTGTCACTAGTGACTTTGGAAAAAAAAATCAGTACTTGGGCAATATGAAAAATAAATTGCAACACGAATTACAAAAATAAAATCATTGTATTACTGTCAATAACTATTACCATGATTCTTCCTTTTTCCATTCCCAGAGATTTTAAAAATTCAGATTAATTCTGAAATAGTAGTGAAGAGGTCCTTTTACCTTAGAATTACCTTTTATGAATAACAGTAATTAAAACTTAGTACCATGAGAAGTTATTAAATCAAAATTGTTAACATCTTAATCAGTGTCCTTTTTGGTTTGTTTTGTTAGCTGTAGCTTCCCTGAGCCTGCACCTTAATTTAAGATCATATTCAACACTCCAGTTGTTAACAGTATGTTTTTGTCTTTGGTAGTGGCTTTCGAAAATCTGTTGAGAGGTGATTTAGGAGAAAACCACTTGCCTCAGTTCCAGCCTATACAAATATCAATCTGCCTTCTCCCAGTATAAACTATTGCTCCCCTATAGTTCACATGTGTGTTTCCACAGCCCCAGAGGTGAGGATAAGGGATAGAGAAGCTTCAAGGGGAAATTCGAAGAACTGATTTCCCCTGTCATTGCTAGAAGATAGAGGGGCAATTTCTTTTACTAAGAGAGGCTGCGTCACAGCACTGCCTAATGTGCCTCTACTCCTTCCTTAACATCAGCAGTAGCCATGTGCCGCACTCATAATTTCAAGACTTGAAAGCTGCTGAAGAAGGCAGCACAGATTATACGGGTAGGAGATGTTGGGACTATCAGCATATGAACACTGCTTAGGAAAAGAAGTGTCATAAATCATTCGTTACGTTGTTTATTCTACAATGAGAACAAACTCTGACAGATATTCGTGAATGGAAAATATGACAATAATACTTATAATGACGATAGTTATTTTTTACTATTGGATGCATATATGACTTGAATGCCATATACATGCATCCATACGTGTGAATATGTTAACAAGCCATAATTTCCACACTATACAAGTTCATCAAAGCTCATTTGAGGATAAGCCAGACTGTGAATCATAAGAAAATCTAGACTGTACTTTCTGCCTTACCCCGTGCCCACCGTGTAACTGCATCACTGTAGCTATTAAGGGATGTTGCCTCAATAGCTCCATTTCCCTCCTCCCCTTATGATGAAGAACAGAGGAAGGAAACCTCTGTTCGCTTATCGTCTGATCTCGTTATATAACTGGCATATTAAAAGCTCATTAAATTATATTTAGAGATCTCATTATATTTTAGTAAAAGAGAACCAGGGCTACAGCTGCATGTTGTTGAGCTTCTGAAGATAACTACCTACTTTGTCCATATCTTAGGTCAACTCAATCAAGTAAATGAATGCAATCAGAGTTTAAATTAATGTGAAATGATGCAAACCAATACTTTATTTTACAGTGGGTGTTTGGAAAAGCTTTCAATAATACAAGTGGTGACAAAACCTCTATGGCATGGCAGCAGGCCCTCTGTGTGACTCCATGAAGGCTGGCAGATGGCAAGCAAAGGCATCAAGGGACTAGTATTTCACCAATAAAATCAAGCTGACAGATCTGAAATATAAAATGTGCACTGGTCTTGATAAGACGGCAAAGAGCCAGAGTATGCAACATCTCTGCTAGAATCTGATTTTTTTTTTTTTTTTTTTTTTTTGGTTAGAATGCAAAGAGAATGCAAAAATCTTATCAGATTACACGGAGATGGAGGCTAGGACAGGCTAAAAATAAAGTGAATAAATAAATAAATGAATAAATAAATAAATAAATGATGCAGTAGATTGGTGATAATGTGGAAAATGGAAAACATGAAATGTGTTCCTTTTATAAATGTGTTGCTAACCAATGTCCTAATATTTTTATTTATTTATTTATTTTCATGAAAGAAGAACAGAAGAATCCTGACATATGTCTAGATCATTTTCTTTTTTTTTTTTCCTTTTTTTTTAAATTTTATCAGAATGCTGAGCCACAAAAGTAAAGGGAATAGACAAATAGAAGTGATTGCATCAAACAGAGATAGATAGCTAGGAGTACAGTTTAAAATATCTTTAGCACAATGCGGGAAGCAAAACATGTGAAAACTTAGAAAATAGGTCTTGGATACTTGTGACTAAATTAAATGCGGCACTAGAGTTCAGAGGCTAAGTTCAAGGAGAATAAGATTCTTATGATTCCTCCTCTGCTGGGTTACTTAGTTACTTTCTTTTGTTGTAAGCAATATCATTCATCCTGTTCAGCTAACACGAAAACAGCTATGAGGAAGCCTAGTCTAGAAAATTGCCCTATATGTTTTCAACAATTAAGGTCATGACCATATTAAGCCATGCTTTACCTCTGAAATCAACAAATAGTTGTAACAAAAGTAATGGACTTTTATGACATAATCACAGAATCACAGAATCTTCAAGGTTGGAAGGGACCTCTAGAAATCATCTAGTCCAACCTTCCCGCTCAAGCAGGCACACCTACAGCATGTGGCACAGGGTGGCATCCAGGAGGGTTTTGAAGACCTCCAGAGAAGGAGACTCCACAACCTCCCTGGGCAGTCTGTTCCACTGCTCTGTCACTCTCACAGTGAAGAGGTTCCTCCTCACCTGGAGATGGAACTTCCTGTGTTTCAACTTATGCCCATTTCCCCATGTCCTGTCGCTGGCCACCACTGAGAAGAGCCTGATCCCTTTTTCCCTATATTCTCCCTTCCTGAACTTATACATGTTAATCATATCCCCTCTCAGCCTTCTCTGCTCCAGAGAAAACAGGCCCAGTTCACTCAGTCTCTCCTCATACGAGAGATGTTCAAGTCCTTTAATCATTTCTGTTTCTCTCTGCTGGACCCTCTCTAGCTGCTCCACATCCCTCTTATACCGGGGAGCCCAGAACTGCACCCAGTACTCCAGGTGCGGCCTCACCAGAGCTGAGTAGAGGGGCAGAATCACCTCCCTTGACCTGCTGGCAACACTCCTCCTGATGCAGGCCAGGATCCCATTGGCCTTCTTGGCCACCAGGGCACACCACTGACTCATGGTTAATTTGGTGTCAACCAGGACTCCTAGGTCCCTCTCTGTGGAGCTGCTTTCCAACAGGTTGACCCCTAATCTGTACTGATGCCTGGGGTTATTCCTCCCCAGGTGCAGGACCCTGCCCTTGTCCTTATTGAACCTCATGAGGTTCCTCTCTGCCCAACTCTCCAGCCTGTCCAGATCCCTCTGGATGGCAGCACAGCCCTCTGGAGTGTCGGCCACTCCACCCAGCTTGGTGTTGTCCGCAATAATAAAATAATTAGCTTGATAATAAAATTATCAAACACATTTGAGAACATGTTTCATGCTACCTCAAACCATTAAAGAATGATACTCTTCCAATGCTAGAAATATTCTTACAATTTCTCACCTAAATTTATTCAGGGCCCATTTTTATTCAGGGCTTTGTTAAACTGTTACTGGGTTCTTTTTCCTCCTGGGCACTCACTTTGGAATATTGGCAAAATCTAATAGTACCTTAGAGGTTGTTTTGATCAGTTAAATAACCCAAGTTTTCTTAATCTCTTCCTGTAAGACACATTTTGCATTTCTACAACCAATGTATTGCCAACTGCAAATATACCGTCTGTCTCGTCACAGCAGCTCTGCTACAGAAACGTATTGCTAGGAGACTTCATATTAGATTATGCCAGCTGCGAATAAGCAAGGGAGGTGACATTTTTATACTTTTCTTCCCCCTATTTCCTTGTGTATCCTGTGTTTTATTTTTATCTTATTTATTTTTAAGGTCTTAACCACAGAGATCAGTATATAACCAGTTTATCATTTGTTTGTGGAAGAGCCTCTTTTATACTTGTTATACCATGAAATAAAATTCAACATTCACTAATTATGGACTCTGTCATCTGATATCTTTGAATCAGGCTTATGGTCCATTTAAAACTAATTTATTTGGCTGTAACTCATGTTAGACATTTGAAAAACGAAACAGACAAACACAGTATTGAAATAACATGATGCCATGAAGAAATCTGGATGTGAGAAGAAGGACTAGCTACATCAGGGAAAGAAGCTATGGGAAGCTAGGGAAAGAACGTATTTGATATTTCAGTAAAGTAAGAGAAAAATAATATGCATTATGTATAACTACATATATCTGTGTATACACATGTATACATATATACATTAGATATGCTTGTATACATTAGATATACAAGCATATGGTGTTCAGTAATGATGTAACAAAAAAGTCAGATTTGTGTCCCTCATTAGTCTGGTAGTGATATTTGGGAAACTAAACAAAATTTCTACATTTTGAAATGATACAATGATGTATCTCATTTTCCTCAAAAAAACAGACAATACATATGAAAAGAAGCTTTGAGAATAAATTTCTTTTTTTCCTTTTTTTTTTTTTTTTTTTGCAGTACAGTAACCCTGTTGAAAATATAAATAACTGTTTTTTTTTCTTTAGTTTCAAGCATTAATGAAGTTCAGGAAGAACCACACAATGAAAGGAAGATACATATACATGTGTGTATATATTTGTGTGTGTATGGATATGTAAGTGTGAGTATGTACAATATATAATAGGTGCATATGGATAGAGATGTGCTTGTGTGTGTGTATATATAAATCAATGCAATATATACATGCATATATATATATGTACACACATGCACACACAGTTACAGGCCTCATTTACAGTAAAGTACTTAAGCAATCTTAACTTGCATATAAAAATCTAATTATCAGATGATTTTCATTTACCATACTGTGTAATAAATAGGAAATATAGCCAAAAAGATCATTAAAACAGTCCATTACAATTTTGATCTTGTGCACGGTTTCACACATCAAAAAACAGCAGCATCTTGCTTCCCTCTGTAGAGAAGATCCAATGTAACATTAAATGGAATGCAAGCAAGAAGCGGCAGGAAAATAACGATGTGGACATCAAATGAGTATAAACAGCTTCCTGCACAAAATTTTGACTTCAGCAGTATAAAAATGAGGCTAATAGAAAATAGTCTAGGCTAGACTATTAACCATAAAAAATCTTGTGCTTTTATATCTTCTTATTTAAATCCAAATTTACAGTTCTGGCATACAGCAGACTGAATATTTACAGTAGGCTTTTTAACAGTAGTATTTTTAATGAATACTGAATAAAAATGCTATGTATTAGCATTCATTTTGATGTTTTGATGTTGGGAATAAAAAKAATTTTAAGACTGTAAACTCCTAATTAGTTATCTAAAATTTTACATTATATTTCCTCTCATATTTAATGGGATTAAGACAATAGTTCAGCTACTGGGTAGAAAAAAAGATTACTCACAATTATTTAAAGCTCAAAAGCCAAATTGTATTAGAATATTCATGCCAAAAACACATGGTAAGACAACATTTACAAGTTAGACTCTGGGAGGCGATTATGGGCAAGAAGCTCATGTAAATATAGATAACCATCCACTGAATCATATGGAAATGTTACTTGACCAGAACAATACAAGTACTATTTTTTTTTTCTGAGCAAAGCTCAAAATATGCTTTGCTCAGAAAATGCTTAGGTATGACTCTCTTAAGTAGGACTCTCTTAGGTATGATTCTTTCCTAAATACCTTTTCATATTATCATTTAAAAAGAATTACTATTTATTTTGTTGTTTATTTTCTTTGGTATTGTGCTCCATGCTTATAATATCTAGACTGCGTTCTTAGATGATATATTTAAAAATAAATACATCCAGTAAAATAAACAGACTCTTTTTTTTCTGTCTATGTGGATAAAGAAGAGTTTTATCTGTGAACTAACGAAGGAAATTTGACATGAAAGGAGGAGAAGTCTAGGCATTAATCAGTGAAAAAAATTGTTAAAAGTTTATTTTGCAAAGACAGCTAACAATAAATTTGTCACACTTGCCAAGTAGTGTTGTTAACGGCCTACAAATTAATATCTAAAAAATCTTTTTGAAAAAAATGTGTAGACACAGAGAGTACAAAGGTACATTGACGAATACCATGCACACGTTATCAATATATTTATATACAAAAATCAAAAGTAAGGAAATTACAAATCCAAGTTTGCCTAAGTCTTCTTTCATGTGTATGAATTATTCATATATGAATGAATTATACAGCTGGTCACAATCACTCATTTACTCCCTCAGGTAAACTCTTAGAGAAGGAGATATCTGATTTGTTTGTTAACTTTTGTTAACTTAAGTCATCATTTTCAGTATCCAAATATTGCTCTAGATAACAAAGTATAACTTTCCTGATAACTTTTCCATGTTGCTTATCCATATACTACCTGAACACTTCATGAAAATTTGATACTTCTTCAAAATAACAATATTCCAGTCAATAGAGTCTTCTACTTTTGAGATTTTCCTTTTCTAATACTACTTCTCCTCCAAAACACTTACATTCATGAGTTGTCAGAGACTACAATGTAATTGTTGTAACTGTAATTATCAAAAAGAGAAGCAACTATTAAAAAGACTTTCCATGACGTATTTAACTCAAACTACTCAGAAACTGTCAGAATAAAATATTGAGTGAGCAGGAACAGTGACCAATGTGTTTTTTAGTGGCATGATTAATACAAACCCATCCTCACAGCTTATGCAATCTGTTGAGCAAATGCCCTTTTTTCCCTGGGGATGCAAAGACTCTGGATCCTATTTAAAAACATTTCACTAGAGAAGAAATTYAGTAATGAAATTAAAATGAGTTCAACCATGAATCGATTAAATTTACTAGAATAAATGTACTCAATCCTGCCTTTAGAGCATATTTATTCAATGGACAATTGCCATTTAGCAATGTGCTCTAGAGAAAAAAAAATCCTATTTAGTTAATGAATTGCATGCAAGTGCAGCATCTGGAGGAAGAAATTTATCACAATATAGGAGATTATTGCACAGCAGAGCACAGCATTCATAGGGAGATGGTTAGCATCTAGTGCCTATCACTGTAAGAAAACATATCTTCTCTCTATGGCCTGTTCAACAAATGATAGTCTTCTTGACAGTAAGCTACAGGAGTCCAGCAGTTCCTCATTCCAAGAATCTGACTGACAAGCCAGGACTCTTCTGGGACTTGGGTGTCTTGAACTACAAAATGCCATTTTCAGGAAAAGGATTAGTCATCCTCCTCTCCACAACTGCAAATTCCTACTATCATCCTATCCCTACATATTCAGCTCAGTCAAATACAAAAAATAAAGTACTGCTAATCAAATAAGGCAAAAACCCTCTGCTCTCTTAAAAAAAAAAAAAAAATAGAATGAAAATGAATGAACTTCCACATGGAAAAACACGGCCCCTGATTCAATGAAGTTATTGTTTAATCTTCTCATATTGTTTAGTCTTCTCATATATACATACCCTCATTAATCTACTGATTCATGGAATTATATGCTCTTTTTCTACTTCTATTAATAAATTACTCCTCACATATAGGAGAATACAATATTAAATCCCTCAACAGTTTTTTGTTCTTAAAATTAGAGTTTTTATAGCCTCTAGTATTACCTGAAGTTAATAACAGTTTCTCAGAATATATATGTTTTTAAGGTACTCAGAATTTTAGTCAAACAGTATATAAAGGGAAAAAGCACCTTTACAGTATTCAATATTTTAATTATTCATCCTTACCATCACAAGTTGGGAGAGGGTGACTCCACCAGTGGTTTTTTTCACATAGCAAAGGCTCTTCATGACTCAGCCTATAACCTGGATCACAACTAAATGAGACAGTGGAACCTATAGAGAAGTCATGTCCATAACGGCGTCCATGCACAGGTATGCCAGGATCCAAGCAAGAGTAGGTATTAACAGTAACACCTGGTTAAAAAAAAAAAAAAAGAAAAAAAAAATCAGCATGTAGCTAAACCCATCACTCTCTTACCATGGCCAATATGAAAGCCATCTCTTATACTTTAAAATGGATGAGAACTTAACCAAACAATCAGTTCTCCAAAACATGTCCATCAGGATGGACAACAAATTAACCATGAGGCAGCAGTGTGCCCTCATGGCCAAGAAGGCCAACGGGATCCTGGGGTGCATTAAGAAAAGTGTCTCCAGCAGGTTGAGGGAGGTGATCATCCCCCTCTACTCAGCCCTGGTGAGGCCACATCTGGAGACTGTGTCAAGTTCTGGGCTCCCCAGTAGAAGAGGGATATGGAGCTGCTGGAGAGAGTCCAGCACAAGGCTGCGAAGATGATGAGGGTCCTGGAACATCTGTGCTGTGAAGAAAGGCTGAGAGAGCTGGGCCTGTACAGCCTGAAGAAGGGAAGGTTGAGGAAGGATCTGATAAGTGTCTATAAATACCTCAAGGGAGGGAGTGAGGAGGAGGGGGCTTGTCTCTCTTCAGTGGTGGCCTCTCATAGAACCAGAGGAAATGGCCACAAACTGAAGCACCAAAAGTTCCACAGGAACTTAAGGAAAATTTTTTTGACAGTAAGGGTGACAGAACACTGGAACAGGCTGCCCAGGGAGGCTGTGGAGTTTCCTTCTCTGGAGGTCTTCAAAACCTGCCTGGATGCCACCCTGTGCCACCCTGCGTGCACAGGGAGGTTGGACTAGATGATCTCTAGAKGTCCCTTCCAACCTTAACAATTCTATGATTCTACGATTATATGATTAGCAATGGAAGTATACTGGTGACGCTATGGCAGTAAAGAATTTAAAACTGATTTTCTGAGATAAACCACTAAATGTGAGAAGATTTTCACATTTATAAAAAGATAAAAAGATATATTTAGAAGCATAAAATTTAAGCGTCTGATCATGTATCAACATATATGACTCATAAGAAATCATAAAGATACCATATTTTTGGATACTTTCTAACATATACTACATTTTACTGTAGTAATTTGTCTATTTCAGATTTACAGCAAACAAAGGCAGCTTTTTAAATACCAGAGAATCCACAGTCCAGCAAATCACTAGTTTGATTTTCAGCTGATTAGTGTAAATTCCATTTCTTATTAATTTGAGTGATGTAGGAACATCACTCAGGCCAGTAATTCAGGTATTTGCCATATATTTTCATAATCCTACTGATTTTGTGCAGTTTTAAACATAAAAAAGTGAATTCTGCAAATTACATAAAGACTAATGACGCATAAGAACCACATCCAGAAGATCTATATTTCATTCCAATTTCCATCTTTTGAATCTTAAAGCATGCAGCACAAAAACAATGTCATGACACTATAAAAGAAATGTCCAATCATTGTTTTGCAATTTAATGTCACCAAATCTTTTCCAGTTAGTGTATAAGAGGAGGAAAGATTCATAGCCTTTTTATGATCTGTAGAGGCCTTGAGACTATTGTGAAGCTGAGAACTAAGCTGTTATCTGGTTGTAGGGAGTTTGAAGGCAGCTCTACAGCTGCGAAAACAGGGGCCTTATCTGGTGGTGAGGAGCAACTGAGGAATTTGGAGGCAGCTGTGCCAGAAGGCATGGGGCCAACCAAAACACAGCCGACCTCTAAGCCAGTTTGGAGGTCAATCCTGAGGCAAGGGAGAGGAAGATGATGAAGGCAGGACCCTCATAACGAGACCAGAGACCCCCACTGGTGGGCACGCATGAGCACACCAGAGAAAATTGGATAACGAAAAAGGTGGAGCTTTGCCTGCCCTCTGGTACACCTCCTGACACGTRGTGGCCCTRYGTGGYRGGATGCGCCAGATATAAAAAATAATCRTGGATCAGAGGAGGGGAGAGACTTCCARCYRAGACCTASGTTGTCTCCGCRGGGACGCCCGCAAGCTTGGAGCCTGTCAGCCACCTCTGGTCCACGGCGGGGGAATGATCGGTCTCGCTGTCCTGCTGGCAAGTATCCTCTCGTAAGTAATTGCTANCAAGCTTGGAGCCTGTCAGCCACCTCTGGTCCACGGCGGGGGAATGATCGGTCTCGCTGTCCTGCTGGCAAGTATCCTCTCGTAAGTAATTGCTACATACGCGCCTTGTTCCGCAGGTAGTTGCTAAGTCTTGCTTTAGTGTGATGTTAGTGTGAATTGTCCTAAATAAACTAAGGGGTTGATTTTGCTCTCAGTGCATGTGCTTTCAATTGCCGAACCCTGAACCCATCCAGAACAGTTAGAGAAATGGGAGGTCTGACTGAGGAATTTATATAGAGAACAGTACATCTTTATATATAAATATGAATAAATAAATAAATATACACAYACATATATATATATATAAATAGACACACATATTTATTTATGACAAGAGCAAGCAGAGATGGGGAAATTAAATCATACAGTTCAGAATGACTTACTTTCATAGTGAATCTTGAATCCATTGTTGGAACGACTGTTATCAGTAGTGAAGAGAAGATAAATGAAATTGCTGCTACTGAAGAGGAACTGTGGGACCTGTGTACCATTGTAAGATCCCAAAAGTGGCGATAATAGATTTGGTCCATCATGAACTTCTAAAACATCATAATTCAGTTCTGTTTGAAACCTAGAATTAAGGAAATACAACACATACAAATATAAGAAGCAGTTAAAACAAATTTAACAGACATACAACTATGCCAAATATATAAAACCATGCTCATTTCCAGAACAGGTTCTAGTGAGATAAGAAACGTTTCAACTTCCTGAGCTGCTTCGTATTGCAAAGAAGAAAAGCAGGAAGACCATGGCTTGCTAGCATAGATTAATATCACCTTTATTTAGTATTTTATACTAAATTATTTACCACTGTCTTTTTGTGAAAATTAAGTAAAAGGATATGTTGATTTGCTCTTATTACCTCAGTTCTGTTTAGCACAAATATCGTAAAAGTATTTTATATTATCAAAGAATCCTACTTTGAATTTACAAGCAGACAGGTAATTACTTAACTCCTCTATGAGACTACAAAAACTTGTTCTAATCGAGGAACTTGCTTCATCCAAAGTGGCAGCAGAAATAATAACAAAACAAATAAACAACCAGAATTTGTTTAAAAAGCTCTGCAAAGGAGAATGTCCCTTTACAGGAAGTATCTATGCTGTCTTTGTGACAGTGCTACTAGATACCTCCTTGCTCAACTTGTGTTACATGATATTAGTAAGCCCAAACAGTCTGTCATGTGCTTTTGCCTATTTTCTCTCTCACTTGCTATAACAGATCTTRCATCAATCACACTGCTTTAATGGGCTCTCAGATGGATTATTGAAAAACTCTTCCAGCATTAAAAAGAAATAATTAACTCCGGGATACTATAAATACCCTTCAGATGTTCCTAACTCTCCAGTTCAGTTAGATGGCTAATTCAGTTTTGTGAAATCCATTCAAGGAAGTTTATGACAAGGTACAGAAGAAGTCTCACTCCAAGATCTAAAGGAATTGGGCAAAAGAAAAGAAGCCAAATGAAACCTTCAAAGCTAATTATTCCTGTCTTGTTTAAATAAAAGAATACAGAAGAAGTCCATAGAATATAACAGGAAGTTACAGAAAGAAATCATCATGAGACTAGATGCAGGAGAGCTGAAAGATTCTTTTTTTTCTGCCTTTTTCCTCCTTCTGCATTGAAGTCACAGTGACATATGTGCATATGGGCAGCAAATTTCTTCCAGTATTTTCTCTTTTTTTTTTTTTTTTTTCCCTCACTAAGCCATACAGGGAAGAAGAAATCTTAGAAACATCTCATTTGTTTTTCTTTGCTCTCTTAATTCCCTTATCAAAGGCATACATAAGACAGAAAGTGTCTAAAATGCATTTGCCTGGACATCTCTGACATCTCAGGCCAGGGAAGCAATAAAGACAATAGAGTCTCCAAAGACAAGAATGATAACATAAAGTCCCTCATGAGTTAATATTCCTTAAAAAATGCATGCAATGAGCAATACAAACAACAGAAAGAAACAAAAGAAAGTGATGGGAAAGTAACCAAAGTGATATGCAAGTAACCAAAAAAAGAGGGGACAGTATCTAAAGAGAGAGAGACTGAACAAGCTGTGAAGAAAGGATTATGTACTATGCCTTTGTTTGCTTATTTGTCTCAGAAAAGTGATCAGTTTAAATGTAGTTTGCACAGTCATTACATCATTTCTTATCATTCCCTCATTGAACATCTTTTCATTTGATGATCAGCCTATCTGATAATTTACATATTACCTCATTAGTTTCTGATGCATTGAAGATTAAATAGGAAATTGAATAAGAAATAATTTGTGCTCCAGATGATGTAATGTTCTTCCCTACTTAATTAGCCACTATTCTTCAATTAATCTGGATGGTGTCATTGCTATGTGCAGCCCATTCTCACAGAGAATGCACAAACATTCAATGAAACAGACAGGAGTGAGACAAACTTTACCAAAGCATACAGCATTTTTTTTTATCTTGTTTGCACAGATGTTGTAATTTTAATATTTAGAGCATACATCTTCTCTGGTAAGAGGCATCCTATCAACTCAGAGCAGTGTCAGGATTTGAGCAAAGTCCACCTCACAGCATTTTCTCATTAGTCAAATGTGACTAGTACTCCAATCAGCAGTTTGATGATTAACATCCTTAGCATTTAAATACACATAATTAGGCTTCATGATAAACAATCCATTACAGTGAAGAATAGCACGCACATTTCTCCTTTCTACCATTTCAACTCAGCTTGTGCAGACAGTGACTAAAAGAAAAAAATCAACAGATATTACTATATACTGGGACTAAAAACTTCAGATTACTCATTCACAGTCATAAAACAAAATCTGAATTAGTCCACAGGGAAAATCAGGGAAAAACCTGAAAGTACATGAAAGAAAAACTAATACATTAGTTCTGTCTACAGACATTTTGTCTTTTTTACTGTCACATGCTCCATGGCACAGAAATATTTTGGCATACAGATATCAAAGGTAAGAGTTTGCCCAGATGCAACAGCACAAAGGAGAAATTACTGTGCAAGTGATAAACTGAAAAGTGATATTAAGATAGCATCCTGCAAGGAATCTATGTTCATTATTTCAAAAAATCTCAGTGAAAGTATTTAAAGGTTCCTGATGTGTGATCTTTTTTTTCCATGACAAAGACAAGAAAAAAAAMCAATAATGCAAATATCTACATATATTTCAACTGGAATTCTTAGTATTTAGATACTTATTATTTGCACAAAGAAAGTCTGGAAATGGTGTTTCTCATTGTTTCTTTTTGAAGACTAAGTTGAAATGGACTCAGAAAAGCCTGAGATAGTTAATGTGCTCTTTCCTCTTAAGACAAGCCCTTAGGAATCTTAAATCCTGGAGATCATGGAGAAAGTCTGGAAAAAGAACTCAACAGGCTGGAAATCTGTTCATAAAAGAACCTCATGAAGTTCATCAGAGTAAAGTGCAAGATCCTGCACCTCCAGAGAAAAAAAGAGCATGCACCAATACCTGACCTGCTGGAGGGCTGCTCTGCAAAGACTGAGCTGGAAGCTCTGATGGATTGCAGGTTGAATATGTCAGGAATGTGCCTGTGTGGCAAAAAAAGTCCAAGAGGATCCTGGGTTGCACTAGGAGAGTATTGCTGGCAGGTTGAGGGAAGTGATTCTTCTCATTTAATCAGCCCTAGAGGGGCCACAGCTGGAGTGTTTTGTCCAGTTTTGGGCTCCCCAGCAAAAGAGAATCACTACATACTAAAGTGACAAACAGAGGTCCATTAAGATGATTACAGGACTGAAACATCTTTCATATAAGGAGCATATGATGAGAGGCTGAAAGAGCTGGGGTTGTTCAGGCTGCAGAAGAGAAAGACTGGGGGGGATTTTTCCATTTTTCAGACTGTATATTTAAAAAGTTTTGCAAAAATACATATAATAGTATTTCACAGATTGATTTTGTTTTACTGTATGTTTATTTCAGTATTGAGTTTATTCAATAACTTTTTTACACTCAAAAAGATATTTATGTATCTAAGTGTATGTGTAAGAATGTATAGAGATGTATTTTTATACATGCTAATGCATAGAAATACATAAACACATCTATACGTAAAGAGAACCTTTCTGTATTCACCTTGCTGCATTTCACAGATAGGAATATCAATCCAACCTACAGAAAGTGACAAGAGTGTCAAGAATGAGCAGTGATGGAAAAAGATGGAAAGAAAAAGCATGAAAGCAAGATTAGGCTRAAAAGAGAAAAACAGGGTTTTTTTTTTTGTGTCATCTGAGAGAATATCTTGTTCTTACTTCTTTTCATTACAGGAATAATAAAAAATATGCAATTTTATGAAAAGATGTTAATACATATATACAGGAGGGAGTCAGATTTAATGAAACTCAGGTGCAAGGGAAGGAAATTAAGCTGATTTAGAATTTCTGGAGAAAAAAACAATTTTTCCCAGTTTGAAAATATTTTAAAATTGATTTTAAAAAGAAATGCTGATTTTTAAAAATAGCTATTTGGCATGTTGTGATAATATACTTTCTTTTCACAGAAATTTCAATTTTAATTTTTTTATTCTGATTTCCAAGAAGATGAATAGATTAATAGTCTCTCAGTTTTGAATTGATATGAGCTAAATTTGTGCAGAAGGCAATTATTGATTTCTCGTTTTATTTTAATTATCAGTGTTCACTAAATTTTCATTTTTAGTTGATATACAGAATTAGGAAAGGGGAAGACTACATTTTTGATGCATTTTTAAGACTTCATTTTTTATGCTCTACAGATATATGTATACATTGATATGTATATGTACATATATGTATATGTATGTATACGTACAGATATAGATGTAAAATATCTGTATTACCAATCCACTGATGTTATAGAAAATCACATCATGATATTAATATAGTGCAAACTATAGTATTAGAAATTATAGTATTAGAAGTTTTAAACAGCATTTTACCACAATGAGAAATTTTGCGAAAAAAAAATTTTGAGAAAAAGATAAATTTTATACCATTCATAAAAAGGAACTTCTAAGTTATATAAACATGAAGCAACATGATTGCAGACTGTCTGTGACCAACATCAGTCAAAACAACAATTGAAAAGTAGTTCCATGATATTTGTGCACTAAAACTTATTTTAACTTACTAGCAATCTAACAATCAGCTATAAAATTATTAACATGAAGTATATAGAATATACTTGAAATTTTTAGAATATATAACATTTTTGAAGTAAATTTTACATATTGCTTTTCCTAAGGAACTTTAATTACATGATAATTCAATTAAAATTTTATTTTTTAAATCAAATTTTTAAATTCTTAAATTTTTATTTTTTAAATTAAAATCTTAGTTTTTAAAATTAAATGTTAATTTAATTAAAAGTCTTGATAACATGAGCACTTTAAGATCCACAGCATACTTAGATCCTTGGCATTAGAAAGGACCATGAAGTAACAGGCAGTAATGTACACAAAACTGAATGCTGCATTGCATAGAGACTGGAACTACATCTTGAGAGTATACATTCTTTTCACAAAAAAAGACTTGACCTCGCAATGGATATGCACAAGGGATAAAAATCTGCATGCATTTAATGCAGAATTCAAGGTTTAACCCACTATGTTTAAAGAAAGGATGAAATAATTAGAAACTTAAAGCATTCAGCAAATGACAAATAAATATAACCTGAATGAAATATTGTAATATCTCTATTGGCTAAAAAAGCTTATGAAATGAAAAAAATATTCATTTTCTTTTTTCTTTTTTCTTTTTTCTTTTTTTTTTTTCCTGAGAAGATAATTATGTTATAGTTTATACATTAGAGATTAGGAGATATATAATACATGAAATCCACTCATATACTTCCTTCCATTCTTTCTAATTAAATATGGCATACACATAGCTACATACAATACAGATTGATATTGAAGAAATTGTCTTCTTAGGATAACTAATGTTGTAAATAAGTGCAGCTTGCAGATTCTACTACAAGTACAAAGAATACATGTAGGCAAACCTTTAAACTTATATGAGTCTTTATGATTAGTATTTCAGAAATTAATTCAAACAGTACAGGTCATAGGTCAAAATACATCTAAGCCAAAAAATTAATAAAAAATGTTTAAGAATGGGTGCATAATTTCTCATTGCAACTCAGTTACCAGTAAATTAAACAGCAAACCTTAAAAACAGACAAAAATGTTAACTAGTGTAGACACACTCAAATATATGTAAGAGGATAGGATGTTCAACAGATTTTCAGTGCATCAGAAATGGAAATTACACTGCAGAAAAAAGTTATGCTTTAAAGGCATTAAGGTGATTTGCAAAATGCTATTCATTAATACAATCACTTCATTTCAGACAACTTGCAAATTAATTTTATAATAGAGCTAATAAACTTCTGCTTCTGGGCATAAAGTAAACAGTATGAAGTAAGAAAAACATTAGTCAAGACCTTTCAAATGTAATTTTGATGGAGTGTCCTGGTTCAGCTTCTATCACCCACTCACAATTCAAGGAGTCTTTATAATACCCTGGCCAGCCAGGAGAGAGGATTACTCCACTGGGAGATGAAAAATGGCCACCACATGGAGCTAAAAATGAAACAAAGAAAATGGTATAATTTATAGAATGGGCATTATTTTCAATTCATTATTATTACTTTCAGTAAAAGGCATTCATAGTGAACACATTTTAAAAGTCCAATTGCAAGATGCAATAAGTCCTTAAAGATGACATAAATTGTACAAGGTTAGGAATTACATTAGAGAGCCCTAAAACCCCAAAAGATAAAATAAACTATGTTCCACTTATGTTGGCAAGTGCTATTATACTGTGCCCTTACTGGTACCATCTACTTTCCTAAAATAAAAGATATAGAAAATAGATTCTCAGGAGGTGTGAGCATTTTTGCCTGATGTTGACTTTACCTATGGAGATCACTATTCCATCCCAAAGCTGACATCATTTTACAGATGAGATRTCTAAGAACCCTGGAACTGATACTTCAGAAGGACAGATACTTCAAGTAAAGTCTTGCAATACCCTGCACAGGTTTTTCATTTCATGTATGCATGCAAAACTGTTAAGTCTGAGCAATTGAAGTTATGTGAATGTGTCATCAGACTTAGGTGAAATAATGTTCACTGGTATGGAGGAGTGAGGAAGAGACTGTGGGAGTGCTTTGATGCTAGTTGACTGTGCTTTGATACTAGTTGACTCTATTTTTTATTTTTTTTTTTTCTTCAGTGAGATATAGCTATTCCCTAAATATAGAAATAAATTCACAGAATTATCTCAAATCCTAGACATGTAAGAAATGCAGTGATTGCATCGGTAGAAGTACTTATGTTTTTAAAATAGATTAGAAAAATCATAATGTTTTTCTGGAAATTTAAAATGTCTAGCACAGTTTAGAAATTTAATGTATATCCAATATGGTAAATTGAAAGTATATTATTCAAACTATGTATAAACATTGACAAAACATATCTTTCTGCATATGCATGATTATACATAAATACACCTATATAAACAAATATGCCAAATGAACACCTCCTTGCTCTGCAGGAGACAGGATAGAAAAGAATAAAATCTCTAAATATATTTTCCTCCAGAAGAACAAAATATATTTTCAGGTTACAGTGTTACATTAAGTAATTATATTTATTTATTCATGGGTCAATTCAATTTGTCAAGTACTTAATTTTAAACTAAACTTTTTCCACTCACTGAGGTACTTGCAAATTGGCATCCTTGAGTGAATCCATCTATTTTAGTGAAAAAAGGTTACACACAAGGATATTTAATAAGGTATATTCTAAAAAAAAAAAAAAAAAANNATTATTTAGAATATACATATAAAACTTTTCCCTTTTGCTGAAACTTGCATGAATGGCCATACTTGTGACCTCATGAAGAGATCTTACTAAGCTTTCTTTGGTGAAAATATGAGGTCTGATAATGTGAGAAGAATCTCATAGTGGTAAGAGCATTATGAAACAGAAGAGTGAGGAGAATAAAATAGTTTAAGACTTTGCACCAAAAGTTCCACAGGAACTTAAGAAAAAATTTCGTAACAATGAGAGTGACAGAGCACTGGAAGAGGCTGCCCAGAGAGGTTGTGAAGTCTCCTTCTCTGGACATCTTTAAAACTCACTTGGATGMAGCCCTGTGCTCTAGGTAACTCTGCTTGAGCAGGGGTTTGGACTAGATGCCCTCTGGAGGTCTATTCCAACCTTAACCGTTCTATGATTCTATGAAGAATTGATTTTTGCTAGCTGTCCTATCTGCAAAAATATTTTAAACCTTATTTAGTGACCCGGGCGATAGCTTAGACACCCGTGGTAGTTAGGTTACAACAAGAAATCTTATTTTCTACCACAAATGGTAGATGGCTTTCAGTATGGTTAAAAACGCAGCATTTATAAGAAAAGAGCTGGGAGCACTGCATGGMGCATGTGCTTAAACTAGTAACCAGTTTAAAATAATGAATAGTCTACTTCTTTTTATTTTCAGGAAACGGTGACTATTCTATGGAAAAGAAAATAAACAAAATATATTCTCTAATCAATTCAAATTTTACGTGAAAAAGCAATCTAATCTTTTTGATCAGACATATATATAATCAATGTGAGGTAGAGAACAAATAACATGAAATACTTATAAAAAAGTAAAAGATAAATATTAGTGTAAATGCATTTCTCTACAGAACAATAAATGCATGATAGATTTACCTGCTGTCATAAGCTCCTTTACGTATTGCTAATTAAGGATTTGCAAGAGGATTTTCAGCCCAAATTAGGTTTGCCAAGCTTCCCAGAATTTGAGCCCTCAGTAACTAAAATAAATACTCACGTTTAGTTTCATGTTATCTAAATAAATTCATCAGATGATGCTATACRTCACCAAACTTCAAATTTCACATAAAGCTTATATGATCAAGCTAGCTAATTTTCCTCAGAAATACATTTTGTAAAGTCTATATTTAACAGTCTATACTTGATTGCCAGGCTCATTAGATACACATAGGTATTTATTTACATGATATAAATCTGATCATAGTGATCTTCATACTTGCTTAACAATTCCTTCTGTGACTRAATAAAAAGCTTTTGTGAGTGAAGCATACAACTGATGGATTTTCTGCCTATCTGAATGCAACTATCACTTATTTCTAAACACAAAATTCTAAAAGCATTTGCCGTATTGCCAGAAAGCTTCAATATTCAGTTCACAAAGTAAATGAGATTTCTGTCAGGAGATCTTCTGAAGATTAGGACATAACTTGACTTCTGCATGGTTTGAGTTGGGAAAAAAGGAAAACAATTATCGCATCAAGATTTAATACTGACTTGAACCGGTTACAATTAAAGTCAATAGATAGCCTTAAACTAATTTCTTAATGAAGAAGTTAGGGACTTCATTACTACGGAAAAAAAAAAAAAAAGGATAGGAAGTTAATTCTGCTCCAGCAATAGTTAGAGGAATAAATACGCTGAATAAATGTGTGATCTATAACCTAATCAATGTATTCTTCCCACACAGACAGGAAAAAAAATAAGGTTGTCACAGCTATTTATCTGTTTAAATTCTAGAAGGCACGCAAATTTTGCAATGACTAGAATTATATAAGTACTCGCTTAGATAGAAAACAGAAGCATCTTGCTTTAGAGAAAGAGAAAAACACAACATGTTTCAAAACACTGCTATTTCAGTAGATATTTATGCATACAGGTTTGGTAGATATTTATGCATGCAGCATAATGAAAAGAAATGTACTTTATTATATTGCAAAGTGGTTGAAAGGATCCTAATGTATTACCGTCTCTCTTCTAAAAAGTGTTATGCATACAACATTTTTCCCCAAAAAAAACAGCTGACAGCTATGTCTTAAATTCACTATTTCTTCTATCTTAATACAATCTCCAAATTATTCCTTTCAATTAAGAAAACAATAAGTACAATACCCACCATTACCTTATACCACTTCKTTTAGAACAGTTTAGGAGAAAAATAGCTTAGTAAAATTAAAGAACTTTCTCGATATCACCGCTAGCAAAAATGGATTATATTTGCTCTTTCTGACAAAGCTTCTAATGGAAAATCATGAATTGTTATATATTGGCATGATCTTCATTTTTCTCCAAGAAATTAGCAAGTTCATAGGCTAAACTGATGAACTGTAAGAGGCTTTTTATATTTTTAACTAAATAATAGCCAGTCCTCATACTACTGAGTGAAAGTAGTTTTCTAAAAGCTAAAAAACTTTCTAGAAACTGTAGAAAGTTCAGACTTAAATTTAGACTTAAATTTTACATTTTAGTCTTTATTAGTTTCTACTCATTGATTATTTTAAAATCATCTTTGTCAACTTTTACTTAGAAGTCCTTTAGGCACACTACCTCCAGCAAACACTGCCAATCAAACAGCAAGATRTTTCAATACATTATCATATCAGCAATGATAAAGGTAACTCTGTAACATTAATCATCATTACATTTTGTTATATATAACCACTTATATATAAGTGGTTATATATATTCATAATCATACRGAGCCTATAAACTACAAAATCTATCAACAAGAATAAGAACTCCAGATGGTCCTATTCTGAGGCGATGTACTACCAGAGTTGGAATACAGCATTGCTAAATGTGTACAGACTATCATTTTCTCACAAAATTTTCATAGAACTGCTCCCAGTAATCTAAAGTTTATCTCCAAAACACAGAGAAGTATTATCTTATAAAACATACTTGTATATATTTAAATAATGCATTATTTGCATAATCTTTGCCTATTATTACATTGTCTACAATCAGAGTAATTTCTCTTTGTATTCGAGATCTGACAATGACAAAGACTTACTTTTTTTTTTCTTTTTTCTTTTTTTTTATAAGAAAATAATCTACCTTTCTTACCCTTCCTCCGATTATGGTTCTTCCTGGAGCTTGCAGTGCAAAATTCATAAGATTTTTTATTTGGCATTTGCCAGTTGGCTGATTTCCCAGACTCAGGAGTCCTTCACTTCATAGCTACAGATGGGCGACTGTACTTATCCTCAAGAGCCTTGCTTTTTAAAAAACAAAATGCTCCAGACATCTTGCTAAGAGCATTATTACTCCGCCCTTTTTTTACACTGTTTTTCAGTCCCTGTTCTTTATTCCAGTTCTATTCCACAGTTTTCTGTCAGAGACATACCCACTATCAGCAGGGTAAAAGCAAAATGCTGGAAGTGTATCACAGCTGGAAGTGGTCATCAACCACAATCATTTTGTCAAATGCAGGCCCACAACAAATATCAAAGGGCAATCCCAACCTAAGAATTCACAGAAAGTCATTTAATCATTTCAGCTTATTTCATGAACCACATTTATTATTAAGCGACTGTTCTATCTGTTGAAATAGAAATGGCCCAGCAGTAGCCCAACAGTTGCAATCAGTGTTTCTCAGGCAGCATAGAGAGCCTCTACCTTTGGCTTGATATGCACGAAGTGATGTGTGTAGGACTAGCAGAGTTCACCTTATGTGAACTGGTTATGTGTTCCAGGTAAATGTGTACATAAATCTGATTGATACTGCAGATTTTTGAAGAACATATCCCATCTCATCAGATCAACTACATTACTCTCTATCTTCAAATTTTAACCTTAATTTTAAAAATATATTTAATTCTATAGCTGGCAAATACATTTAATTTAAATATACCTGCCTTCCAATCTTTAAGATTTCAGTATACATCCTATTTAGCGTCTTGGACCACCTTTGGACCTGATTATCTCGTGCTTATTTTGTTGAGTGAAACAAACCCTGCTTATGTATATGATACAGTAATAATTTATCACAGAAAGTGATAAAATTATATTGGATGCAAAGTGTCACATAGTATGTCACATTCATGTGCTAAAATTAATCAAATTTTGCTAGGCAGATAGTTAAGTAGTCAAAATCAGATCTACGTGTTTTATGTTTAAAAGAGAAGTGAAACTATGTTTATGTCAGAGATTACATCACTCTTAAGAAAATTAATAGATTTCTTTCAAAAAAAGATGCCAATTGAGATTTTTTTTTTTTTTGAGATGAAGAGATTTTAAAAAACAACAACAAAAGAAAAGCCCTTTATGTATACATTTGTATAAACAAATATCAGGAAATAAGCACAACTGTCTTTTAGAGGTGTAATGACATGGAGTACCTAATTTGAATAAAGAGGAAGATCAACTGATAAAAACAAAGCCCCTGTGTCATTGCRGACAGAAGAAACATTAGTGGTTCAACACCGATGGGCTCTCTATCTCTGAAGCTGCATTTAAACAAGACCTCCCAAAATTTTTTTGAATAAAAATTTGAGAACAGTTTTTCATGATTGCTTAGGAACAGTAAGTGACAGACTGAACAGGATTTAGGGATTTAAACACATAAGTTGAAGAAGAGAACCATTCAATATACTAAAATAAATCTCATAAAAAAAAAAAGAATCATTTTCTTCTGGTCTGCTATATTATCCAAGGTTTCAACAAGGCCAATCAGGATACTGTCTAGACTGGATTTCAAAAATACAGAGATAAATCTTTTCGGTGTACTGCTAACACTGCTACCTGTAGCTCATTATTCCCAATAGCTCTCCCATGGGACAAATGCATGCTTTAAAAGAAAAAAGGCAAGAGTGATTCTTTCAAGTATAAATGTATTTTGAGGAAACTGGAGTTCCCTCAATACCAAATAAGAGCCATCTGAAAGCATGAACAACATGCAGTTATACATCAGTGTTCACAATATTGATGTTTATGCCAAGTCCGGCCACATTCTTCTTCCTCTCCCTGTATGAGAGAAATTCATGCCTGCAGACAGGACTGCAATATCACTTCATACAGCGCAAGACCATTTTGCTAAGAACTAGGTATTGCAAGGGCTTTGTGCTATCCATTTGCACAAGTCTCAGTTCTATTTGGTGACAACTTAAAAGAAGTAATCTTGTCTTGAATCAAAAAGAAATATTATACATACCTCCACACTTTGGAATAGGTCCGCTCCACATTACTTTTCCATCCATTAACATGCAAGTAATTGTTTCAGTTCCCTGTGTTTTAATAAATCCTTCCTCACAGATGACAGAAATTGAGCTCCCTAGTTGAAAGTTGTCACCAAAACGGCGAGCATTGATTGGTACTCCAGGGTCAGGACACTCATTATGTCCGAATGCTTTGGGGGAAAAAAAAGAAATACATATATATAWACTCTGAAGTAATAAAAACATAAGTTTGGCCAAACCCAGAATATGCATACATGCATACAAAACAATGTTTAAAATATGATAAAGCTATGGCAGCATAAATCTTAGTTTGGACACCTAGATACCTASAGCACATAGCACAGGGTTGCATTCAGGCAGGGTTTTTCATGACTTYCAGGGAAGGAGATTCCACAGCCTCCCTGGGCAGCCTTAGATTTTTTGTATCTGAGACTGAATAAGACCTGAAAACCTGAAGTATGATATTTAAGTCACTTGAATTTGATACATTTTAAATCTAAGTTTACTTTTAATAAAAGTGGAATTTATGTTTGATTTTACTGGAACACGCATAATTACTAAGGATACATCCTGCAGAAATAAAAGCAAATCTTGCATAAAATTACACTGTGATAAACACTAGTTAAAATCAAATTATATTCAGTTTTTCTGAGTTCTTCTCAACCCTATAATTAAAAAATGTATTAATGAAGTAATTCTCTATTTTATAGGTAGAATATGAAGAATTTAACAAACATACTTCCACTCTATCTTAAACATAACTATAAAAACAGTAAAAATATAAATATGTTAAACTACTSAGACACAGAAAGTATTTCTATATCTGTAAGAAAAAATATTTCAGAATAAGTGTCATTATACAACTGTCAAAAAATAGTACGATCTTTTCACTTTTTATGTAAATTAAATTTGTAGCTGTGAATATCTGTCAATATCAGTATATACGTTAAGTGATTACTAAATGAAATATGTTGTAATTAAACTACTACTCCCCCAAAGAAGTCTGTAATTTTCTAAAAGGACCAACTCAAACAGGATTAATTCTGATTGCTATATTTACATAGGGCTGAAATACTAAACCAGCAATCTTAATGATGCTTGATGAAGTGTTATATCTCAGAATAAAAGGCACAATTATTATTCTATGCTAATCATCCACATCTTTCATATTTTCTATAAAATTCTTTCAAAGATATATTCTTAAAGATACATTTCTGTGCTTATATTCTAATCAAACCTACGTTAAGTTCTAATTCTGTAAAATAATACAACTCAGAGAATATACATTTAAAGATATTTTTTTCTTTCCCCTTGAGAAGRCTGCAAACATCTCTCTCCTAAATTTCCCTCATTAGTAAAATCAGGCTTGACACTGCATAGCATATTCCAGTGAAAGGTTAAAGCAGAAAGCAGAGCCATTTAAAGTGTTAAAAACAGCATGAAAGAAGAAAATAAGATGGCATACAAGGAATACAAATTACAACTTCCATTAACAAATATGGCTTCCATATCTCATTTTAATTATAACTATTTTTATATTTCATCAGTATAGAATAACCCAAGACATCCTAATGCTTCTTTATAGTATTGTGACACCTAGTTACTCTTCTCGAAGTTTAACTTGCCATGATGATTGGTAGCTATAGAAATAAATAAGAAGGCACCACATTTTCTTCACATTTACATTATGCATTTGTGAGAAATAATTTGTGGATGAAGCAGCTAAGATAGAGGGTCAGAAGCAGAAATATTAGACAATATCAGAAAATGAATATTTACACAGCAATCTAGTGTAAATTTAGCTCCTTCCTAGTTACCAAACATTCAGCGTGAGGCTTAAGAAAATCCTCCTCTGAAATATTCAAAAGATTCACAATCTAAAATGAAACAAAACAAAAAAAAAAACAAAAAAAACAACAACAACAAAAAAAAGAGGGATAGAACGATGCTAGCAAGGTAGTTAAAGCAAAGGGGACACTTGGTCATTGGAGTAAGAAAAATAGCATCCCTTAGAAAAAATCTGAAGTCTGGTTCTCAAAATTACGAGATTCGTTTAATCTCTTTTCCTCTCCAGCTTAATGGAGTCTTTTGATTTTATACAGCCACTTTCACAGTAAATATTATTTTACCATATAGCTAAGTATTCAACACATTCTTCTGGAAAGGAGARGCCAGGGCTTCCATGTCTGTCTGGATCATGTACCATGTTCATAATGTTATGGATTTACATATTAGATACTGCATATGTAAGTTAAATGTGTATTAATTGGCACATATTTAGTATCAGTTTACCTTGAACCTAAATATAAGCATACTAAAATGGTGTAACCAGCAGTGGTATGCAAGTATTTGTTAACACCATGAAAGCATAGCCAGACGCAACATATATTGAGAACAGGCTGAATGGCAGAGCTCAGAGGGTAGTTATAAATGGGGCCGAGTCCAGCTGGAGGCCTGTGGCCAGTGGTGTCCCCCAGGAGTCAGTACTGGGCCCAAGAGCTGTTCAACTTGTTCATCAATTACTTGGATGAGGGTCCAGAGTGCACCCTGAGCAAGTTTGCAGATGACACCAAGCTGGGTGGAGTAGCCAACACTCCAGAGGGCTGTGCTGCCATCTAGAGGGACCTGGAGAAGCCTGTCCAGGCTTGGAGAGTTGGGCAGAGAGGAATCTCATGAGGTTCAATAAGGACAAGTGCAGGGTCCTGCACCTGGGGAGGAATAACCCCAGGCATCAGTACAGATTAGGGGTCGACCTGCTGGAAAGCACCTCCACGGAGAGGGACCTGGGAGTCCTGGTTAACCAGGTTAACCAACCTGGTTAACACCAAGTTAACCATGAGTCAGCAGTGTGCCCTCATGGCCAAGAAGGCCAATAGGATCCTGGCCTGCATCAGGAGTAGTGTTGCCAGCAAGTGGAGGGAGGGGATCCTTCCCCTCTCCTCAGCTCTGGTGAGGCCACATCTAGAATATTGTGTGCAGTTCTGGGCTCCCCAGTATAAGTGGGATGTGGAGCTTCTAGAGGGGATGCAGCGTAGAGCAACCAAGATGATTAATGGTCTGGAGGAAARACTTATGAGGAAAGACTAAGCGAGTTGGRTCTTTTTTCTCTGGAGAAGACTAAGAGGCGATGCAATCAATATGTGTAAATATCTGAAGGGAGAATGTAGGGAAGAAGGGGCCAAACTCTTCTCAAACTCTTGAAATTCTAGACGCAAACTCAAAGAAAAGTGCCAGTGATAAAACAAAGGGCAATGGGTATAAGTTGAAACACAGGAAGTTCCATCTACATGTAAGGAAGAACTTCTTCACTGTGAGAGTGACAGAGCAGTGGAACAGGCTGCCCAGTGAGGTTGTGGAGTCTCCTTCTCTGGAGGTCTTCCAAACCTGCCTGGATGGCACTTTGTGTCACGTGCTCTACGTGTCCCTGCTTGAGCAGGGTGAGTTGGACTCGATGATCTCTAGAGGTCCCTTCCAACCTTGATCATTGTGTGATTCTATGATTCTGTGACATATGCATGTGGACAAGATGATCACTAACGTGGCAAGAACAGATGTAGTTGCATGTAGAATGCATCCAAGTAGCAAAAACTACTAAAGTACAGGATAGGCACAAGGGACCGTGGATAGGCAGAACATTCTCCTGAATACACAAGAAGGACTAGCAAGATAAAAGAGAACAAAGTTAAGTAATACCAGAAGAAGGAGAGACCTCCCCATCTTTTGGGAAGGATGGTGGGGGAGAAGGAGATACCTCAAAAGCATTAAGAATATGCAAGGGGAATCAGAGAAAAAAGAAAAGCAGCCCATTCCAAGTGAGCTAATTTCATGAAAGAGAAGCCTGACCACRTTGATCTTGATGAAAAAAGAACCAGCAAAGACCACAGACATAGTGCTTTCCATACAGCATTATGCAGTATATGGTAAGTTAGTGTATTTGTATTCAGAACTGAGTTTTGTATACTTGATCATGATGATTAGTACTTAGCACTATGCAAGTTACAGCCATTAGCAAGAAACATGTTGTCAACAAATTTACTAAAGTTCAGTTTTAACAATTTAAAACCAACCTGATTTTTCTAATTACATACCCTGACTTATATGTACATACATATATACATATATACATATGTACATATGTACATATGTACATATATATATATATATTCAGCTGCAACACCTCATTTGAAAAGCAATATGATCATCTAAAGGAGACATTCATAGCTATGTAGTTTTTTATTTTTTTTTAATGTCTTGCATTACTCTAATATCCTTTTTATACCTACGTCTTAAACTATATATCAAAAACAAATCAGATGTGATTACTCACTGTTATAAGTGATGTTAAATCCACGTCCTGACATTGAATGGTCAGCTTGAAATTCCAGACGCAAAATATGTCCATTACTGGTGAGATGGGAAGGAACTTCAGCACCAGTAAATGTTCCTATTATGGGAGAATCTGGAGAGTCACCATCTTTAACTGCAAGGAAGTCAAACTGAGATTCCAAATCAAAGTCATTAAAGGAGAGATGGATTCGGCTCCCGGGGTCTGAAATTATGGTCCAAATACAATTTAAATTATTTCCATATCCCTCTGGATAATCAGGTGAAAGAACTGTTCCCATTGGTGCAGTGAAATTAGAAAGGCAAGGAACTGAAAAAAAAAAAAAAAAAAANAAAAAAAAAAAAAAAAAAAAAGACGATAGAATAACATATATCTTTAAGAGTAAAATTTTATTACTATATTTCTGTAAGAGATTCTTAAAATATTTTATTGTCTTAAGTAATTCTGTATTCTGCATCAAGTGAGAAATTATACAGGGAGGTGTGCTTTTCTGCTTATTCCCTTTCCCATAATAAATCTACATCTTCCCTAGTACAGTCCCTCAAGTAGTAAAGACTATCTCTTTTCTATTGGAAACCCACAGCAGTCCTTACATTTTACTCTTGTTGAATCTTTCTTAATCATTCAAAACTACTTATTTTCACCTTTATGAACTGTTTAAAAGAATAGATCTCTCACTAAGTACATTAAAGAATGAGAAAATTGAAGATGTTAACTAGCTTCAAAGAGACAAAAGAGTGTATTTGTTATTATCAGGACAATCTTTTATATTTCAACTAAGCAATATTTAATTAATTTGCAATGATGAATGGAACGGATTGAGCTCCTAATATATATGGCTTATAGCATGTATATATGGCCTATAGCATTTCAGTGTAAAGGCTAAGTAGCATGTTGCCACAAATATATATATCACAACAGTGCTTTTACTTACGCCATCTAGCATAACTGGTAGACAACTATCTATGTAAACACACTTTATGAACATTTGAGTTCTAAACTATATGCATACATAATGCATAGGAAAAATAAACTGTAAATAATTTAAATGTCCCTGATTGCAATTCAGCAACTACTAACCTATAGAAATAAATTAACTTATAATAGTAGCTATAAAAAGTGTATCACACATATAAAATCTGTAGCTTCCTACAAAATATGTACTCAATACAATGTTATACAGAGACACATGATGACAGCTACTTTCTAATACTTATAGGTAAATAAAAAACATTTTAGTAGTTCTAGAGTTTCTGTTGGGTATGAGTTTTTAGCAAATCTACCACTGATGAAAAGTGAATTCATCCCATCAGGAAATGAATTACATTGTACAAAATTTGCAATTAATCATATACATCATTGCATGTGTGAGGTAAAATGTAGCATGACATCATGTATTAAAAAAATAATAATACATACAAATACAAATTGGTATGTTTGCAGACCACTGGTTGTTTTCTTGGCAAATGATAGATTTCTCTCCAATTAGTTCAAATCCGAACTGACACTCAAACCTTAAAACATCCCGGTTAGAAAATCCATCCCCTTCTCTGATACCATATAATGGTATTCCAGGATCTCCACAGCTTTCCTTTTCAATTTCTATTGATGAAAAGAAAAATAAAAGAAAAAGAAAAAAATTATTACTTATGGAAGAATAATGGCATATTCTATGTATATGCTCACATCTAGAGCATAAGTATATACTATAAACAAATGAAGATTTGCATAATAATAATTTGTGTAATAATAATTGCTGAAACACACCACCAAGTCTGATTTTGTACTCTAACTTCTTAAGAAAGTGAATTTTGTGTAGGGACATTGGCATTGTCTTTACACAAATTTCATTTCCAAATTCCATGTCCATTGACAAAGGACATTCTTTTTATCATTATGTCATTCAAAATAATAAAGAGGAAAATTATTCCTATTTTATTTTATTTTGTAAAACTTCTGGCAATAGCATGAAGCAAAATATCTATTGTAGTATGTGCATATTTAAAACTAATAACCCATCTTTCTATCACGGCCACTGTAAAGTGACCAGCTACATYTTCCTCTTAATTTCCATGTGGTTACCGTCATTTTAGGTACTTGAAGACTTGTAGGTACTATTAAGTCTTCACAAAAGCTCCCTTTTCTCCAGGCTAAACAAATCCAGCTTCTTCAGTATCCTCTCACTGAGAAAATGCTCCAGTCCCATGACTAACTTGGTGGCTCTCTGCTCAGTTCAAAGATGCTCAAAACTGGATGTACTATTCTAGATGTGGCCTAAAGAGTGCTGAGTAAATGTGTATAATCTTTTCCATCAAACTACTGTCTGGGATGGTTTTAAGAGCCTAGGATGCTCTTGGACTTCTTTGCTACCAGAGTTCATTGCTAGTTTATGTYCTTGCTTTTCCCCAGGATGCCAGAGGCCTTTTCTACAGAGACATTCCCCAAAATTTACTGATACCAGGAGTTCTTCACTCCTAAGTGCAGGACTTYATATTTCCTATTTGAATTGCACAGGGAGTGCATTCCTCCAGACTGTCTAGATCTCTGTGGAAAGTAGTCCAATCATTGAGCACATCACCTCCCAGATTGATGTCACTTGCAAACTAGATGCAATGCACTCAACAGCCTCTTCCCTCGCATTGATGATATTAAATTGGATGAGTCCAAGAGTAGACTTTTGCAGCAGTCCTCTTGTTCCTGACCTCAGAATGGGTACAGAATGATCTATTCATCATTAATCTCTAAGACTTCTAATGCATCCTGGCCTTTTTGCTAATCCATCTGGTTTGCTCCCACAATATTTTTGTATCCAAGCTAATGCATTATGCCCTGGATGGATGGACAGAATCAAAAGTCTTGCTGTCCTTTGGTAACTTTAGCTAGTCGGTTGCCTTCTAAATATGACATCTGTTATTGCACTTTTGGTGGTTATCTTGTTTGAAATACAATGTATTTGTTTCTTCATCTAGTTCTAGCAAAAAAMCAGAAAGGATTCTTATTTTCTTGATTTGAAACAGAAGTAGCTTTTAGACTTTTTTTTAGACAATGGTAACAAACTTTCTTCAAAACAGACAGAGATATGAAAGCAGTTCTTACTGGGCTCCTGTCAGATGATCCAGGGTTTTAGGAAAGAACACTATTCCAACTTTGTTTGGAGTTACAAAAGGGACTAATGATACTCAGATTCCATTTCAATTCTCTTGCTAGCTCTACCACTCGTTAGATTCTTTTAGCTTCCTTGCTAACAGATTGCTTCTCTGTTTCAATGACTCATAAATTCAGTTCAGAGACCAACAAAGATTCCTGCCTGGATGAGCTCACACTACTGAGCCCATTATGAATATTTATGATTGGCAGTTATATTAGTTAAGTTGCAATAGTTGTTTTTTTTTTTTTTCCATAAAATTTTAAAAATTAAAGCCTTAATCCAGTTAAATGAAAATACCAGATCTGTAAAAGTAATGGCTCATGTCTTAAATACTATTTATTTAATTTTATTTTAATCTCTATCTAAACCTAGGCCCAGATAATCTCAAATTTCCTTTTGTATGTGGGATACAATTAATTACTTTTATACATCAAGTACTCTAACTGAAGATCACAAGAATAAATCAGTTTATAAGCTTATATGAGACTGATGCTCAACATGATAAAAAGAATTACAGTAGAGAATAAGGTGTCTCAGATCTGAAATCCAGCCATAACCCTTAGGTTTTTCATCATGACCTTGACAAGGATACTTAAAGGCAAAAAGACTTGTAAGACTCATTATTAGACCTAAAAATCTAATTAATGTTCATACTCTAATAAAATGAATACAAAACAGTAACACATTAATGTTCCCAGACCACTTTAATAGATTAACAACTCCCAGTAAGAGCTACTTGAACAAGTATTAGAATAAGGAACAAAACAAATTTTACAATAGATGTAGCAAATACACGCTAGAAAGTAGGGAAACATCTCACCACGATATAATTCACAAATAGGGATTCTCAGCAAATTCATCATAATCTCAAGAGAATAATGCTTTTAATAAGATGAAAATTTCCATAAGCTTACTGATAGTAACTTACCGTTAGGATTTTAAGCAAAGTAAAAATTCAACCTAAATCACAGAAAATTCAAAAAGTCTTTACTTAGAAGTACATGTCTTTAAAATACAACTGTCAGAATAAATATAGCAGTGTTTTACTGTTAACACTCCTCTTCAGAACAGACATGAAACTGAGTGGGGAGAGGAGAGAAAAAGAAAAAAAAGACAGTAGTGTCTCAAATTGGAAAGTCAATTCACAGGGCCTTGGGGGAATTGAGGTTCTACTGGCATTTTTTTAAGAAACATATGTGATGGTGGTGGYGGTGTTTTAGGTAATATAGAAGGCAGTAATCTAATACTGCTTTTAAGATTAGGGTATGAAACATAAATTATATCATGATCCACGTTAATTTTACTCTGCCTTCACAGTCTCACAATATGACAGAAGTACTCAATTTTGGTGATTATATTTTACTTTAACRTCTGCTGAAGACTGCTCATGTACTAGCAATCCTCATCTGAAAACATGTTTCTCCCCTTACTAATCCACTTTTTCCTTCACCCATGATTGTACTTCATAATTATTTTACTCATCTGCTGCTAAATGCAGAATTGTGAATTCTTGTAAAACCTTTCAGGGTGATACTTTTTATAATATCATACAGACAGTATGTCTTTTTACTGGTGTGCAATATGAAAGCATGCTGGCAGATACGCCGGGGGTATCAGCCAAYGCAGAACTATTTGAAAAAGGTTAAAAAGTGTTTGTGTGTGGAGCGACAAGGGAAATTAGAACATTMCTAAAGCAATAAACAGGAGAATGAAGAGGATGTTTTGGCATACTCAGAGGATTCATTTTTTCGCCAGACAAAATACAATTGTGAGAGCAGCCTATTCTTCCAAGACTTATGAAAATTAAGACAGAAAGAGAGAAATGAGTATAACAGTATTTTTGTCATTAAATCTTACAGTTATTTCAAAAGCCATCACAAGTGCATGGGAACCTGCTGATTATAAGGTAACAAACAGGTATCTTTTGAAGTAAATCTAATGTTGTTGAAGATCAGCAGAAGAAACAATATATTTCTGCACTTCAGTTAGCAAATTATCATCAAAGCATTTTCTACTACAGAATAGAAAATTTGGAATATTATTCTGATTTGCAAAATCTCAGAGATAGTATGATTTACCAAATAGCCAAAAGAAATAAGAAAGTGTTATGAGCTATCCTTTTGGAACAGAGCCTCAGTTCCTATCAACAAAGCTGCACTTAAGAGTTTCTACCTATAAGATTTTAGGTTTCTTTTAGTTTCATTAAAAATATCACTAATGATAACACACATTTTCGTATAATGCATATACATAACAAAATTGCAATTTACAATAAGAGTGATTATAGATTAGGGTTTTTTATGTAAACACTACATCTATCAGATATTACATAAAGTCTTTGGAAGAGGTCATTTCTATATGTGACTACCTCTAAAATTCAAAAATATTCTTATAGTTTAAACATACTTTTGTTTTGTATTTAACATTCTGTTTTTTTTTTTACATTTTGGTTTACTCATACCTTTTTTTTTTCTTTTTTTTGAATTTGCTATTCCTGTTGTATACAGTAAGAATGGTGAGAATGGAGTTTTCTTTTAACGTGTCATTATCATTTGACTCAAAAGATCAGTACTGGCACCTATAGCTGACAGAAATGTAAACAAGCTAATACCATTTCCATTTGTTGTTTTTATAGGGTGTTCTAAAAGATGCACCTCTGAGCATATTTTGTTAAATATGCTGGAAATGAATCCTGCAAGATCTTTTCCAATGTAAAGCTTTTGAGATGAAGGGGGAAAAAAAAAAGAAAAAAAAAAAGCAGACAGTTTTTGTTTTCAAAAGTTATTTCACAACTCTGTAGGAAGTATGGAAATCAAAGGGCACAATCTGTTAGAAATTCAATTGACATTATAACATACAGAGATGTGCCAATGCTTTCAGCATAAACTTTTCTCTCCCTGCCATTCCCACCCCTRTTTCTCTCTGAAGGCCAACGTTTCCTTAGGGACACGAGAAGGGGAAAGGGAGTTATCAGCAGTCAAAATATTCTGTGACTTCTAATTTTCCTTCAAAGTCCTTCCGTATTATGACACTGTTGACATGTAAGGGCAGTAGCAGTGAAAAGAGGCATGAATTCCGCTGATGGTAAAACTGACTTTTTGTAGAAAGACTCACTAAGGTTGTTTTAACTCAGTATTATTTTGGAAATTCTGTTCATACTAAACTGACAAGTTGCTGGTCCCAATGCAATCAATGCACTTAAAAAATACCAACATAACTTATTTCTAACAAGAAATACCTGAAAGCCATTGAAGTAAAATATGCTGAGCTACATATGAATCAAGAAATGAATGCAAGCAATATCTAAGTGTCTGCACCATCTAAAGAGAAGGTAAGACATTATGTTTTAAAGAGTTGTACATATTTTTACCAAGAAAACTGTTCCCAGTTTATTGTGCAGTGATTTACATAAGTTATAATTACAAAGAGTTATTCTTCAGA